TTTAGCACCTCTCTCTCTCTCAAATCATTTGAACAGAGCATATTTCTTACTTGGCAGGACAGTGAAATGTAAATACCATTTGCTGAAGAATGATCTAAAGTTCTCAGGAATTTATCATTTCACAACAACAAAAACAACAAGCAACAGGAAGGAAGGGCAAGGGATGGATATTTAGTGACACCGAGGGTGTGCCCCATGATTTATCTGTGTTTTCCCACATAACCCCCAAAACAGCCCTGTGAAGTAAAACATCACTATTCTCCCTTTACCAATGAAGACACTGAGGTTCAAAGTGGTTAAGTAATTGCATTAGGGCCCCAAGCTCTGGGATGCAAAGCAGAACTCACACACAGGGCTCTGACCCGGAACTGTGTTCCTGCCACCGCACGGTCATAGACTACCAGCCAGGATAGAAGCCTCCAACGGTGTTCTCCTTTCAGACTCTGTTTACAATGATGAGTCTTTCTCCAGGAAAGTGAGCTCCATGCCTTTACTCACAGTTTTGCATAAATTTTAGACAGTTCAAGGGATCTTCTTGAAGCCCTTCCCCGAATCCCTCAGTTAAGCCCCCCTACACTAACAGAATGAAAGTGGCTGTCAGCTTGGCCTGATCAGCTTGTCTGGACATTTTTGTACTGACTTTCCCTATTCGATTGGAAATCCTTATGCTCACAGAATCACCCAACCTTAAGACTCACTAAAGAAAGAATTGTGGACTCAATATCATACATTCATCTAAGCATGAATTATATAATTTTAGATTTTAGAATCAGAAAAATCTTAGGATGTTAGAGCTGGAAGGGACCAGAGTAGAGATCAAGTCTACGTGTAATTTCATTCCATAACAACTCGGATAGGTAGGGAGTATCAGACCCCGAGGCTAGGAGGAGAGGCATGGCTTGCTCGAGGCCCCCGGTAACAGTTGTGCAGCCAGGTGCTGGCTTCAAAGCCAGATGATCAGAATAAAGACTCAACCAATAGGAGGAAAGCCACGTGGTCTGCATGGAGCAGGAGCAACACTGGTTGAATACCTATCATTTCACTTTCCCAACAACCCTGCAAAGCACTTTATTTTTATTTTACAAATGGGAGATGGGCTCAGACTGGTGAGATAACACCAAGATCAGCCAGCTAGGGGAGCAGCAGTGACTGTGTCCATTGCTGTATTTTCCCGATGTCATGGAGAGGGGAACTCAGAGAGTAAGACCCTGGTGCTTTTCCAGGGAGAAAAACTATATAGACAGACACGTCCGTTCTGGTGGGTGGGGAGGTGAACACTATCAGGGGCCTGGGTGCAATATCCCTCAGGATTCCCTACCTCCCCAGACCTCCCCCAATCTTCCATGCAGCCAGCACCCTCTGGATAAGTAACCTGGCCCCTATGTACCCTGCTGCTGGGAAGAGGGTACTCTGGATGACAGACATGAAAAACAAACCATAGGAACTGAACTATCCCCCACACTGTGTGAACCAGTTGGTGTTCTGAGGTCAAGGCCCTTAACTGTGGTTATTTACCAAGGCCCTTTGCCCATGAACCCTACCAACAAGGCCACTCGCCTCTTGTTCTAACAGCCCTAACTACCTTCTTTAACATAAACACAAGCCCTTGTTCGCGGTCACATAAATCCTTTCAACATTTCAACTAATAGCCACTAAACAGTTAAAACGTACAATGCACACTCATAAACATTATTTTATTTCACCTCATTGTAACTCAGTGAGGTTAAGTATTTTTATGACCTGTTACAGGTTAGGACACTGAGGCCTGCTGAGATTATATAACCTGTCCAAGGTGCCGTACCTAGTGGCTGAGCCAGGATTTTTCTGAATTCACTCTGTTCTCTTTGAATAACTCCTCACATTTTCAGCAGTATCCCTGTTTACTTCCCACAGCAGGAGTTGGACAAGTGGAAGTTCCTTGGCCCCTTCGTGGAGGTGCTGATGTTCACCTCAGCAGGGTTACAGGACTTGCTGAAGGACGCTCTCCGGGATGACGCTGGCAGCATCACCAGGATCCAGGTCCCCTGACTCCCAGTCTGGAGGACACTTCCTCCCAGACCATATTGCCATTCCCACCAGACCATGTCATCTCTTTTTCTGATTGGGACTCAGAGCCAGCAGCCAGCAAAGGTCACAATCTGTCTGCCTGAAGTCTCCCTCTGTGGTGAGATGAGGGTTTTAAAAAGTATATTTCAAACAAGAACCAGGTTAACTCACACTCGTGTGTGTTCCATTGGCTGAGCCTTCATGGTGCAGCCCCTGGCTCCTATCCCCATCCCTGGATAACAGAACAAGGCGGGTGGCTCTAATAGTGTCCTACCCAGCTCGTGTGTGTCTCACTATTCACCCTCAACTCCTTCCAGTCACTAGTTCCTATTCCCCACTGAAACCCCAGAAATCGCTTACCAAGTCTTCTCACTTCCACCTCCTAAACACTCCACGGCACCTCTAGAATGTAGGCCTGAATCATCTCCCACCTGGATTATCAAAACAGCTTCTTAATGCATGTCCCTGACCGGTCTTGGCCCCCTCCAATCTGTCCTTCCCACTGTAGCCAGAGTGTCTTTCCACCATGATTTAAAACCCTTCTACTGTTCTCCATTGACTTCATGTCCAAGTTCAAATTCCTTAGAGCCTGCTCTTCCAGTCTCATCTCTTGCATCTGAAGTCCTTCAGCCACACTGAACCACTCACAACTCCTGTAGCACATCTCCCTCCCCTCTCTGTCTTCGATGTCCTCCCTCTGATAACCCACTTCAATCCAACCTGGCTAATTTCTACTCAATCTTAAAAACTCAGCTTAGATATCACTTCCGCTGGGAAGCCTTCTCTGGGAGGTCATGTAGAGACATTTTTGGTTTTAGTATGTTCACTGTTATATCCCCTGTGCCTAGAATGTTACCTTGCTTATGATACTCAATACATACTAAATGAGAGTGTCCCATGGCCCTCTGGAATTCTTCCACCACAGAGCTTACTATACATACTATAATTTCCCCTTCCCCCTTCTGTCTCCCCAAGTAGGTGGAAAGCTCTGTGAGTCAGGAACCAAGCTTTCTTGTCCAGTGTTTTAGCCTGTGTGTCTAGTGTGATTCCTGCATGCACTAATGATGTGTTCATTTGGGATGAACACAGACTGGGCATTGGGGGAAGAGAAATGTAGCCTGGGCTATGGGGACGGCATTCTATTAAGAAATACATTTACTTCCAACACAAAAGCATGTCAGAGGTTCTGAGAAAGAATGGGAGAACCCTCAGATGTGATATCAGAAACCAGCCACAAACTAAGTGCAGGCCTCCTGTGGACAAGTGCATCTCACTGTGAATAGCAGTTGTAGAATCCCTTTTGGTGCATGTGTTCAAAATCTTCTGCCAGGCAACTCCCTCCACCTTCTTTGCCATAATATCTTGGTAGAACAAAGCAGGTACAGGGTGGGATGCGACCTATGCATGTATTTCAGGAGTTAGTGATGCCATGGGCCACACATTATCAAGTATGTGTGTTTGGGGGGTGGGAGACAATGTGGTACATAACAGATGGCCAGGACTTTGGAAACCAAGGGTCCTCTGGCTTAGAGCAGAGCCTGCTCCCCTGTCCCTTGGCCTTACTGAGCCATGGAGTGATTAAAGCAGACTTCAAGATGACTGCCTCAGTCTAGGTGACTGTATACAGGGAGGGTGTCCTTGGATCTTATTCTGATCTCTTCAGTATTCTGCTGGCTCTGAGACATTGCTCCAGCACCTGCCCTACCTACTATTCACCCCACCCACTGGGACTCTCACCTGCCTCCTGTGATCCCAGCTAGGTAATTGGACTCCTCTCCCCTGCACCAAGAACCACTAAGCTGTGGCTGACTGTAACTACTCCTCAGACACATCGCAAACAGAAAGGATGTTTTCCTGCACAGGGTATGGTAGGAACTCCATAAACATTCACCATGGGTTGAATAAAGGCTAAAAAGAACACTTCCACTTTGGGGGAGAGAGAATTTGCATATACACAGAATTAATTTCATTTTTCTCCTTTCTCCTCCTTCAGCTATAATTCTTTCACTAAGACAACTAAGTGTTAGGAAAGGAGAAATGGTTCAATCCAAAAATGAAAGGGTAAAAGAAAAGAGAAACTGTCGCAGTCTGTCACAGCCCTTATGCTGTGACCTTGACATCAAAGTCAACACCCAGGAAGCTGGCATTGCCCAATAATCCCTAAAAACAAAAAAAATCAAGCAAGCTAGAAAGTAACCTCTAATTTTATCATGACATGCTTGGGGTTTTTTGGAGAAATTTTATGAGGAAAAGCAATTTGGCAAAGGAAATGCAAAGGCAGAAAGATTTGCAGAGATGAGAGGGGAGACAGGGAAGACAGAAGGGTGGCAAAGCAAAGAGAAAGAGAGGAAAGGAGGCTGGGAATAAGAGGGAAGACAGAGGGAGGGGCAGGAGGAAAGTGGACATAAGAATTAGGGAAATAACACACAAAACAGGCCAGCAGGGCAAGAGAGGAGAGGGGACAAGGGGGAAAAACAGTAAAAGAAAAAATAGAAAGCAGAAAGAAGAGAAAGTAAGAAAGAAAGGGAACAAAAAGATGGAAGATAAAAGAGAGAAAAATAGTTTCATGTATCCAGGGTGAGAAGGAAGACCACCAGGGTCTTCCTCAGCAGCTCTGGGATGGTCATACAGCCTGTGTACTTACATACCATAGATGGCAGAAGACTCACTCCCTCACGAGGGAGTGGACAGGAGAGAGAGATGGGAGTAGCATAAAGCAAAGGAAGGCCATGGGTCCAGGGGCCTGACCAAGACTTGAAGAACAGCAGAGGCAGTTGGGAGGAGGGTGTCCATTAGATGGCCAGGGGGAAACAGGACAATCCAAACATGCTACCAGCAGAGCCAGCCACCTCCACCCTCACCCCAGAGTCTCAGTCCTCACCTGAGTTGGAGATGAAATTCCTGACCTGCCTAGTAAGTCCTGCCAGGGCAGGACGGGGATGTGCCAAGGATACAGGCTTCCTCGGTGTAGGGCACAGCGGCCGTGGTGCCCCCGATGATGTAGCTGTAGAAGGAGACCTCGAGGGTGTAGCAGTAGGAGGTGTGGTCCAGGAGCCCTCCGAGGAAGCGACGGCCTGTGCCTGCCTTCACGGCATCCCGGTTGAAGGATGTGCTGGACTGCGAAAGACAAGAAGGGAGGGGAGAGTGAGGCAGGACCCCCTGCAAGCAGGACCCCTCCTGGCAGGACCCCCGCAGGCAGGCTATCAGATTTTGAGCAAATCTTACAATAACTTTGGGCCTCAGCATCCACATCTGAAAAGTGGGATATTAGTCCCATATCACAGGATTATTATGATGACAGATTAAATAAACAAACATCATTAAAATGAAAGCATCCAGCAGAGCTCCTGGGGCACAGTAACTACCATTTAATAAATACAGGAGTGGGCAGACATAGGTTTACAGTTATGCATATGTGAAACACTGCTTTTGCCCACCCTTGTGTTTGTGAAATTTGAATGGGGACAGATGGGACAAGGAAAAGTGGACAGAGAACAAGAAGCCATTACACTGTAATGATAATCAGAACCCAAATTTGGGCAGTGCTTTCAACTTTATCATATTGTTTCTCTGTAGTATTGCATTTAGGCTTCAAAATAGCCTAAAATAGCCTACAATCCCTTGGGATTGTAAATTAGTGCAGCCACCACAGACAGTAACAAAGAGGCTCCTCAAGAAATTGATAATAGAGCTACTGTATGATCCAATAATTTGTCTTCTGGGTATCTACTTGAAAAATTTAAAAATACTTATTTGTAAAGATGTAGGTACCCCTATGTTCATTGCAGCATTATTTGCAATAGATAAGATGAGGAAATAACCTAAGTTCCTTCAACAGACGGTTGGATAAAGAACATGTGGTACATACTCAGCCATAAAAAAGAGGAAATACTGCCATTTGCAACAACATGGACAGACCTTGAGAGTATTGCACTAAGTGAAATAAGTCAGATGCAAAAGGACAAGAACTGTATGATTCCACTAATAGTAGGAAAAGCAACAAGTGAACAAACAAAACAAACAAAAGCCTCCCAAACTCCTAGTACAGACAACAGCATGGTGTTTACCGGGGGGAGGGAGGGCAGGGAGGACAAAGAGGGTGAAGAAGGTTAAATACAAGATGATGAAAGAGGACCAGACTTCGGGTCATGGGCACACAAGAGTATGCAGATATTGTATCGTAAAGTTGTACACTTGAAATTTATATAATGTTAGTAAAGAATGCTTTCCCCAATGAATTTAATGGAAAATGGAAAAAACAAAAAACAACTCTTTGGTGTAGGTGTTAGAATTGTCCCCCTCAGGTGGGGAATCAGGTTCGGAAATGGAGCACCTGAGTGATCCAGTGCCAATCTGCATCCAGGGATAAGTGACTTCAGAAGCCTCAGCACTCCCGCGTAAAGCTGCCCGTCCATCAGGAACAGCTGCACTCACACCCAGCATCGCCAGAGAGCAGGGACTGTGGCTACTCCTTCACTAGGGTGTGCACCACACTCATCACATTAGACAGAAGAAGGAGCAAGCAGGCCAGTGTCTCAAGTCCTCTGTTCAAAATATGTGGCATGTTAGACAGCTTGTCTTGCTGGTCTCAGTCTTTGTCTCCTCATCTGTAAAGTGGGGGTGGTAACAATATCTCTTTCACAGAGTTGTGAGGTTAGCTCACTTGAGGTTAGAAGGATTCTATGCTAGCCCAGGGAAATCTAAGTCAATGGAGAGACTGTGGTCTTAATAAGAGGATGTCTGTCTTATTCAGCAGGATATAAGAGAAGAAGGAAAAGAGGGAAAGGAAGATTAGAAAGAAAACAGCAAAACAAGACAACGACATGGAAAGAAGCAGAGAACTGTGTGTGTGTGTTGAGGTAAAGGAAAGGATCAGAGAATCAGATACTATCAGATCTGAAAGGACCATCTAAGTCTATGTAGCAAAATCCATCTCTCATTTTAGAGTTGGGCACTGAGGATCAGAGAAGAGGGGCAACAGAGATTGGACTTGGGTAGATGACCTTGACCCTGACCTTGAGCTCTTAAAGGGGCTGCAATGCAGGAACAACATAATCGGGCAAAGCCAGAAATAAAGCTCCTAGACCAGGGGTGTCAAACTCATTCTCACTGGGGGCCACATCAACCTCACAGTTGCCTTCAAAGGGCTGAATGTAATTTTAGGACTGTATAAATGTAACTACTCTTTAACAGTTAAGTGAGAGCTTGGCACTGCCGCCAGGTAAAAATTTACCTGGCACAAGGTGCTAGGCCAGATAAAACAAGGTGGAGGGAGGGATTCGGCCCACGGGCTTTTTGTTTGACACCTGTGTCCTAGACCATGCCTCTTTTGTCAGCCTTGGGAAAATTTACCCCTGTGATGGTCTCTGTACTTATGGCCCAGCCTCCCAGGGAACCTGGACTCAGGAGACCAGTCTGCTCTGGAACTGGAGTGGTTTCAAAAATACAAGGGCTGACCATCCTGCAGAGACTCCCACAGAAACCAGGATGGCTCTTTTTATCCTGGAACTGAAAATGGAGAGCCACCTGTTTTGATTATACCACCAAATGCTGAGGAACTTTGCTGCAGATACTCAACCTCTCTGGGCCACATGTGTCTCTTAGATGTAGAGGAAACTGGGCTAAATAACCGCCCAGTTCCTCTCATGGCCTGGCATTCAAAGATTCTAAGATTTGATGTGCATCTTTCCTCGTAGAGAAATTTATCATCTCCACTGAAGTCCAGGCCTGAAGCAATGGGCAGGCCCATTTTCAGCTCATCAACTTCAGAAATTGCTCTGACCTTTGTGGGCCTTTCGCCTTCTGGCCACACGGAAATAACAGGCCTCAGAGGTTAAGTATCAAAACAAAGGAAAATGTGCAGAAACTCTCTCCCATGTCCCTACACCACATGCTGACTCCCCTCCTTATCTTCTCTCCCTGTCCTTTTCCAATACTTCTTTTTGCTGCAAATTATTCTGACTGCCAGCCCACAGCCTCTCCAGTCCTCCTCAGCATGCGAGGTGGGTAGTAACAACAGCTTCTGGGGTGTGATGAGGTCTTTTCTGCCTACAACGTACTCTTCAATCTATTACTACATTTGTCCTCCCGAGAAGCTATGGTGCAAGCAGAGCAAGAAATTCTCACCCACACATTACTGTCAAAGAAATTGAGGCACAGAAAGCATCACGGAGGAGGAGAAGGGTGGGCGTATAACCCCCTTCGGCAGTCATGTCGGGCTCCTACTAGAGGAACTGAGGTAGGTGCACACGGACCCGGGGGCAGGGTCTGGCACATGGTAGTGCCTAGTTGCTCAGTGAGTTTCTTCTCTTGTTACTGCCGGAATCCTATCAACTAAACAAATGCCAACTCCTCAGACAAACCAAACGCTCCCTGCCATTTCAAAGTCTCCCTCCTGACTGGTAATGAGCAGCTGGTGAGCATGGCATAGCTTGTTACCTCTGTCTTTATCATCCACGCGAGACTTGGCACAGAGCTGGGGTTCCCTAAGTGTTCAACCGAACTGAACTGAGTGAGGAGACAGAGAGGGGGACAAAGGGAGGGAGAGGGGCAGGGATGGGGTTGGGAGGGGGGCTGGGCCAGGCCAAAAGGAAGCCCTTGACGTACATAGGAGAAGTCTTCAGCATTCTGGCAGAGGAGCTTGGGAAAAATGGCCTGCCTCTGGAACCGTTCTTCATCCTCAAAGATGTTGCCGTACATGAAGCCATTCATCATGGTGGAGTGGGCGTGGATGTCAATATAAAACTCCAGGCTTGTTTTCTGTTGAGAGAGAGGATAACAAATGAGAAGTCTGGGGTCACAGAGCTTTATCTTAAAGGGACCAGACAAATCACATGCTACATGCACACACATGTGGGTGCACACACCACACACACACACACACACACACACACACACACACTTCCTTTCAAGCTGGCCCTATCTGTCAGCCGATTCAGCAGCCATTGGCAATGCGCTTGGAGGTGTTGAGACATGCGAGGATCCATTTTTCCTCATTTTTAACACTATCTGCCCTCAGGGTCTGAGAGCACAACCATTCACATCCTTCTTCAGAGTTCTTTTAAAGAAGTAAGGTGTTTGCTGGGTTAAGTCCTGAACAGCTAATACATTTATGACTAAACACATTAGCAGCATTTGTTTCTCTGCTTAATTAGAAATACCTCCAGGTAACATGATTGTATTTATGCTCCTGCTTGTGGTTTTGCCCTGCCTGGGCCATTTCTAGCTGAGGGGATCTGGAGTAAATCATGGCCCTACTTAGAGCCTCAGCTTTCTTATTTGAAAAGTGGTTATTTTAATTCCAACCTCAGAGAGTTACAGGGGGAAATCAAACACTGCAATAATAATTACTATCATTTACTGCATATTTAGTGCATGCCAGGCTTCACTCTGGGAGCTTTACCTATGACATACTAGTTAATTCTATTATTTAACCTCATTTCATGATGCCACACCTACTCTCCAAGAATATATAAATACTGCATGGGGAAAAAACACCTCGTAACCTGTAAATATGATTGTGACTAGCCTTTCTCTGCTCTTTATTTACACATATGTAAGGCACTTCTTAGCTTGATCTGATATAATTTGTTAACATTCCGGTCCATGAGCTCCCTGAAGATAGGGCGATTGTCTGCAGAAAACCCAGAGCCAGTGCACAGAGAATGCTCAGGAGCGCATGCAGAATGACTGAACAAACAACCCCAATGAGATTACTCCACATGCAGTAATGGAATGGTAGGAACTGAGGATTTTTTAAGTCCTTAGAGCCTCAATGTCCCTCAAATCCAACCTTGTCTTCTTATACATCAGTCCAAGTTGTACCTATTAATCCTTCCTCATAGTGACAGAGGTCCCAAATGGGGAAGAGACCTATCCAAGCTCATGGCATAATGGGCTGAACCCCAGGTCTCCAGACACCTAGCACAGTTAACTCCTCATTATCAATTATGGTGGAAATAGCCAAGGCAGAATCTGGCCACCTATCTGCCCTGTTTCTAGCACGTGGTCCTGGGAAAGAAGAAAAGTCCATGCTTAGAAAGATTCTTCCTCCTTGGGACATTTTCAAACCAAGTTAAAACCAAATGAAAACCATGTTGTTTCTCGAACGTAAGCCTAATGGCTCTCATTTCATTTGCCTCAGAGTTGGAGTGAAGTGTTACGTCTTGCTGAGCTCCCAGTTTTCTGGGTGGCATAAGCTGTCTTCTGAGACATATAAGATGCACTTCTCTGTGTGATATTAAACTCATCATTTTCAGCTTTGGAGGTGGAATATACAATGATTCAACAGGAGCCCTATAAAAGTCGTCTTTGCAATTTTATTTTCTTCAATTGTCTCTCTTTTCCTCTGAGCTTTTGATGAGCTGCAGAGGAAAGGAGGAGGTAGAGAGATGACTTGAGAAATGAGGGAGGAAAAACTGCATTTTACATCTTTGGATGTCAGACCCAGAGTGGGCCTTGACACCGGTTTCTCTAACCTTTCCCAGACCAGCCTGGAGTGGACAGGTTGCTGGCCTCAGGCTGGCCAGTGAGTTAGTGAAGGAGAAGAATTAGAAACTGGATCTTCTGATAACTACTCTAAAGTGGCTTCCACTGCCCTATCCTGACACCTGGCACCTAATGTGGTTTAAATAATCAGCGGGTGAATTATATTGATTGATTTACATGGTTCAGAGTCAAAAGAAAAAAAAAGGAAGTATTTACAATGAAAAATCGCCTTTTTCACTGCTGTCCTCCGAACACCCAGTTTCACTCCCTAGAGGCAGCTCCTGTTGCCAGGTTTCATGCATCCTTCCAGAGATAGTTTATACACAAAGAAGTAAACATTCCTCCCCCTTCCTCCCAACACACACAAATGGTAGCACACTAAACACATAACTCAGAGCTGCTTATTTTCCCCTCTTAACATATCTCAGTACATAAAGAGTTACCTCATTCTTTTTTTTTTCAGATTAAGAGAGGAGAAGGGAGAGAGAAAGGGAGGGAGAGAAACATTGATCAGCTGCCTCTAGAGTGCCCCCAATGGGGGACCTAGCCTGTAACCCAGGCATGTGCCCTGACCAGGAATCAAACCTGTGACCTTTTGATTCATAGGCTGGCACACAACCCACTAAGCCACACCAGCAAGGGTATCTCATTCTTTTTAACAGCCACATATGAAGTCTTTAACCAGTCCTCTGTTATTGGACACTTATTTCCTTTTCCTGTTACAAACAATGTCTTAGTGATTGACACCATATTTCACACATACAATTATGTGTAGGATAAATTTCTAGAAGTAGAATTTTTGGGTCCTCTGTCCATTTGCAATTCTGATCAATATTGACAGATTAACCTCCTTAGAAGGATCATTTGTACTCCCAGCAATGTATTACAATGTCTTATTGTCAATTACCTTGACATGATGGGTGAAATCAATATTTTGGTATTGGCCAATTTGATGGGTGAAAATGACATCTCTGATTAGTTTTAACCTGAATTTCTCTTAGTATAATTATCTTTTATTATAGGGCTAAGTAGCTTTTCATATGATTAAGAACTATTTGCATTTTCTTTTCTATGAATTGTCTGTTTATTCTTTGTCTATTTTAAAAACTGAACTGTTGGGCTTTATTTGTTATTGATTTATGGAAACTTGATATTAGGAGAATTAGCTTTTACATGCTGTTCAAAATGTTTCTGCCCAGTTTGTCATTGTTTTTGACTTTCCTTCTGCAAGAACTTTTTGCCATGCAGAAATTTTTAAATGCTAATTTTTAATACAGATTTATCAATCTTTTCTTTTGTGGTTTCTGAATCAAATTTTCATTGTTTTTTGTACTACTTTTATTGCTTTGTTTTTCATATTTAAATATTTCCTTTTAAATTTTATTTACATAGTATAGGGTGTGAGGTAAGAATTAAACTTTATTGCTTGACACTACTTATTAAATTGTACACTAACTTTTTCACTAATTTTTTACACTATTTTGAAAAGCCATCTTTACCATATAATTTTTTGTATGTATCTGAGTTTACTTTTGTACTTTTGGTCAGTTCTAATCATTTTTCTATTCATGGATCAGTACTTTACAGTTTTAATTATATTAAGATTATAATGTATTTTAACATTTGGAGGGCTAGTATCACCTCATTATGCTTCTTTCCCTAAATTTTTCTATATTTTATTACATACTTTTGTATAATCTTTACAGTTATTTAGTTTTTCTTGTTCCCCCAAATCCTGTCAATATTTCAATATTTGTAATGCAATCATATTAGATTTTCATATTAATGTAGGAAGAATTGATTCTTATGACTAAGACTTCCAAGAATATGTTGTGACTTTCCATTTACTCAAGTTTTTTGGGGGGATGGGGTACAACAGGAAGTTTTTAAAGTTTTTTTTCCCATATAAACCTTAAACAGTTCTTTGGATGCCAAGGCAGTTTATATTTTTGATTATGTGATGTTTTCTTCCATTAAGTCTTCTAACTGATGGTTCTCCATAAATATAAACCTGCCTCTTGTTTTTAACACCTTAAAGTTTTACCCAGATACTTTACTAATTCTATTATTACTTGTAATAATTACTCTTTTGATCTTGTGTGATTTTCATTTGCTTTCTTATTCAAAAGACAATCACTGAGTACCTACTGTGTGTCATTGTTCTAGGCACTGGGGGTATGCATCAGGGAATGTTCTGGCCACTAAAGATAAAGCAGTAAATGCAACAGGAAATTCATGATCTCAAAGACTTTACATTCTATAGAGAAGGAAAATAGCCCTGGCTGGCATAGCTCAGTGGATTGAGCGCAGGGTGCGAACCAAAGTGTCGCAGGTTCGATTCCCAGTCAGGCCACATACCTGGGTTGCAGGCCACGGCCCCCCAGCAACCGCACATTGATGTTTCTCTCTCTCTCTTTATCCCTCCCTTCCCTCTCTAAAAATAAATAAATAAAATCTTTTAAAAAGTTCTATGATTTAAAAAAAGAGGAGGAAAATAAATCAGTTGGTAAATGTACAAAGTACATTTGCCATGGTACAAATGTACATGGTACTAATGCCATGGAGACAAATAAGGAACAGAAAGGGAATAAAAAGTAATAGAGGTTCTGGAGAAACAGAAACTTGAATGGAGTAGGAGAGTTACTCTTGAGGATATCAAGTGGAAGAGTTCCCAGAAGAAGGAGAAATAAATGCAAAAGCCAGATGCACTTGGCTTGTTTGAGGAACAGCAAGGAGGTGAGGACTCCTGGGAGCAGGGAGCAGGATGAATAAAGGGGGCAGGATGTCCAGGGCTTGTGATCTCATTACCTGTACATAGTAAGTTTGCCTCTTCTTTTTCTGTTTTTATGCTCCAAATTTTTTTCATGTCTAATGGCATTAGGTAATACGTCCAAAACAATGTTGAAAGATTAGTAGTTTCTATGATCCCTTCCTGCTGTGAGATTCTAGGGACTGAAATTATAGTAGGAAAAGGTATGAGAAATTTACCTGACTAGGATCTTAGTTTGAGTTCTAAGTTCTTTTTCTTCTTTATTACACATATTTAGCACATTTCTGGGAATGCCAAAGACTACAAACACTAATTCCAACAATATACTAATTATGTTTTGTGCCTAAACTGGTTTTAGAGATGCATATTGGCCCCATTAGACTGCAGCATGGAAGGCAGATGCAGGGTTCCTACCTCTAGTTTTAATGTTAACAGGACTGTGGACAAGCAGCAACTCTTCACTTTGCCTCAGTTTCCTCATATTTATTTATTAAAAAAATTT